AGGTCCGAGGTCCGAGGTCCGAGGTCGGAAGTCCCTTGTCGCTTGTCGCATGTCCCTTGTCCCTTCTTGGCTTTCGTAGAAGTCCCTTCTCGGCTTTCGTAAAACAACACCTCGAAGCATCAGAACAGAAACTCAACCATGCGAACGACTCAAAATCCGTTTTGCGAACCAAAGCTTGGCGCATGCGCAGGCGTTATTCACGCCGACCACACCGACACTTTGAGACATCACAAAATGGCTAAGATGGAGTAATAATTTAAGACGTGAATGTTATTGAGAAATTAACTTCGAATGAGATATCTAGCGCAGTAGAAATTATCGATTGGTGAAAGAAAGTGTAGCAGTACTGTCAATGGCGAGTTCAAGCGCGTTGACTGCTGCAAGTGGCGAGGAGGAGAATAAAGAGCAGAGGCCTACCGATGTTATGTTTCTCTGTGACGAGTGGAAATCTTCGAAGGGTGGAATATCAACTTTCAATCGCGAATTCGCTATTAATTTGGCAGAAACAACGACTGGAAGCATGAAAATCCATTGCTACGTCTCAAAAAGCGATGATCAGGACAGAGAAGATGCCAAACAACATGGTGTAAACTTAATTACAGCACGAAGTGTTCCTGGCTCATCCGACCCCTTCGAGCGCTTGAAGTTTCCACCCTCCGAGCTCCCAAACCCACAGCTAGTGATAGGCCATGGAAGAAAGCTGGGTATTCCCGCGTATTTTCTCGTAAAGAGTACAAAGTGTAAATGGATACAATTTGTCCATGTTTACTGTGAAGACGTTGGAAAATACAAGAAAACAACTATGGCTGCAACAGATACAATCGAAGAGAACGAGAAGAAACACAAGGAGGAAATTGACTTGTGTAAAGTAGCGGATGCAGTTGTCGCCGTTGGCTCCCGTCTACAGCAGAAGTACGGTAGGAGTCTCCTTAATGTCAAGGTGGAGATTATCACTCCTGGAATCGTTGGAAAGTTTTTCAATGAATCAAAGTTGGCCGTGGACAGATCAGTAGTAAAGAATTTTAACGTTTTCATGTTTGGCCGAGCTACCTATGAGGATCGTTCCCTCAAAGGATACGATATAATCGCAAAGGCCATTGATTCTCTTGGCAAGAACTTTGACCTGACATTTGTTGGCTCATCTCCTGGTGAATATGAAGAAGTTGAGCAGTGGTTTCTTGACAATAGTGGCATCAAGCGCAACCAGCTAACCATTCGTGGGTATTGCAGCGAACAAGAGGAACTTAAAATGATGTTCTTTCAGGCAGACTTGGTTGCTCAGCCATCCCGTACTGAGGGGTTTGGGCTGGTTTCCCTTGAAGCGATTTCTGCTGGTATTCCAGTACTTGTTTCTGGTCAATCTGGTATAGCTGAGGCTCTGCAGAAAGTAGAAGGTGGAAACGCTGTCATTGTTGGATCAGATGAAGATGCATATGAATGGGCGCAAAGGATTAGAGAGATTTCGGAACAAAGTGTAGAAGAGAGGGAAGCCAATGCTTTAAAGCTTCGTGAGAACTACGGGAAGCTTTACTCTTGGAGGGAAGAATGTGAGAAGTTCAAAGGGATGATTGAGAGAGTAATGAAAAATAGTATGTTCAATGATTTTATGTTTGCTTAAATTTCAGGTGCATGTTATTTGAAATGCATATGATGGTGCTTTAACTTATGTGGAAATATAGAAACCTTAATATGTAAGTATAGGTAATGGCATGGGGCTGAGTAAAATTAAGGATTAATATCATGCGTTTTTGGAGGTTGCTGAAATTTCTGTAACTTCCAAAAACACAAGTGATATTAATCCTTAATTTTTCGGGGAACCATGTGATTACTTGTTTATAATATAAGGGGCAAAATGTTTTCTTACTGATCTCGGGCAAAATGGGACGCCATTGTTACAAAACAAACAGAAATTTCTTTACCTTGGCAGCCATTGCTACGGGATTTTCAGCCAATCATTTTCAAGTAATTTTGCCTGGCACGCTGGACCGTTGTCAATGCATTTCTTTCCGTTGCTATGCTTGGTGTCGCGTGACCCATTAACAAGCATCGATGGATCGCAAGAAAAGCCACTATTATACGGGGGATATAAATTCCAGTTTACTAGTTAAGAAAGACTTGAATGTTTTAAATGCTAAACAAATTATCCATTGCTAGATAAAATCCAGTTTTGTAATTAAATTTTGCCTCGATCATATGAAAATAACATAATTTCGTGACCTCCTTTTCAACATATTTCGATTTACACTGATCTCAGAATTGAGCAAATGTTCGTTACTGAGGGAGGGAACAGTTGGGCTAACAACCATCTTTGATTTTCATTTAGGCTACCCCTGTGAAGTTTTGATTTAAAAGTGCGGTAAAACAAAATCTTCAAATTTTACGATATTAAAGGGTTTAAGTTCCCATAACATCTTAGCTAACCATTCCTTTGTCTTTTTCCAAAGCCAAAACACAAAAGAAATATTTTTTTTAGTCAACTGACCGAATGAAGCTTTCTAAAAGCGCAAAATAAAATGTAGAGAAATGCCCGAATGACCACCACATTACTTGGCATAGAATGCAAGATGGCGGCTACCAGAAGTGCAACAGAAGTTTGTTAAGGTAGGAAATGTTCGAAGGCAGCTGGTCATAAAGGCAGATGCAACTCAGAAAAGCCTGTTATTCCGTTTTGGGAATTATCTCCAGTGTTTCAACTGAACACAAGTAAACGGAAACTGTTCGAAGAGGAAAAACAATTTGAAGAAACGCACGAGGCGAAGAGACTGTTACTCGATGACCGAGAACAAGCACTCGAGACTAGCAAACAATTAATGAACACCGCGTTAGACGAGAAAGGTAAAACTTTTTAACAAATAGATACATTCAGTACCATATCATTTCACATAATGAAGAGACAGTGCAATATTTTATTTTTAACTCACACAAAAGCTTACTAATGCATTGTTTATAAAAGTCTATTATAAATTTATAAGCTTAGTACATGTAGGAATGAGAGAACATAAAAAAAATTGCATGGGTGGATTTTGGATCATCAAAATAGCATGGGAAAATCAAGTGGAGCTTCTATATTTATACTTTCCTTTAAACTAAAATCATCTGTGTACTTTTTCACAGAGAACGAGTTGTATAGTCTACATGCTGGTTTTGAAAAAATTAAAGCACTGGCTGAATCAACAAAGAAGGAGTCGTCTGCTGTTACCCAGCAGAATGAATTGCTGAAATCCATGATTTCAACCCTTGGTTTGGATTTTAAGCAATTTTCAAAGTCAAAATGGGAGCAAAATAATACATCAGCAGCTACTAAACCAACTACAAGGCATCGCAGACGGAAAGAGACGCAAAAAGCCTTAAAGTTTATCCATGGTGGAAGTTCAGGTTCATTTTATGGAGCATGGGACTACATTGTTGCTAATGCTCCTAAAGAACTGGTTGGTGAATTTATTACTGCCTATAAAAGAGGAAAGTATATCCAAGAAGTGTTTGAAAAGGCAATGAAAGAGCACCAAGCATCTCCTGAAGCTTTAAAGCAAGCCATAGCAACTAAATATCAGAACTTTCTTTCCCGAAGGAAATTCAACGTAGTGTGCAAAACCCAGACTTCATATTTTAATGCGGAGTCAGA